GGGCAAAAGCATTGGGCTATCTGGGGAGACATGGAAGGACAGCCAGTCATCAGGAGGGTGGGTGAGTTAAATGAGAGGTGTCAGGGAGTAGGGATGGTATGATCAGAAAGACAGACACCTGATCCAGCTTGTAGCATGACTGACAGATACAGCTCCAGCTGCTAAATTTTCATGGGCCACAAAACAGTATCTCACCAATCTTTAGCTCAGTCAGTCAACCAACTCCAGACAGACTTTTAGATGGACAGACAGAATCCCAGAGCAATAGACTTCCAGCTGGACAGCCAACCAGACATAGAGATCCTTGGACAGATGGAAGATATACCTTTCCCCTACCACAGTCAGGTATCAAGATAGACCTGTGGCCAGGAAGAAATGTAGACCCCTCTCCCAGGTGACTGAAAGCTGGACCACATATTCCAAGCAGATGACAGAATTCCTTTCCCAGTTGACAGAGAGAGGTTTTTACCACTGTGGAAAGACATCTGATCCACGACCCAGTCAGCCTTTAGCTGGACAGAGTTATCCTCCACCAGTAAGACAAACCGTTATCCTATGAGAAAGATACCTTAAACATATTCTTGCCTTCAGGGAAGACATTTCCTGACCAGCCTCTGCAGTCAGACAGGCCAACTCTCAACTCAGCCCCTGCTCAGACATAAGATCCCTAGCTAGCAAGGCAGAGATCCCAGTTGAGGGATCAGCCATCCTATCCCTGCTTACCACCATAGATGGCCTAGTGATGACTCAGTGCTGCCACTGCTCCTACTGACCATTGACCTCCAGTGACATCCACTATCATCATAGTCCAGAGACCTTTCCTGATCCCTCAGTGACGCCATTTATTCTGGCATCTCTGGCCAGGAATGACTGCCATTAGCAACTCAGATTCAGAGAATCTCCAGGACTCCCTCACCAAACCTGTTTCCTACAAGGTCATGGATGCTTCTGTAGTGCTTCCTCCCAGAGTCACCAACACGCCATGCTGATCCACAAAACATCAGTGATAATTCCACTGGCATTCACTGTCTAACGAGCACTTCCCTAACTTCTGACTACACACCAAATCCTCATCCCGCGCAAATTACTTCTCCTGTCTTCCCTGACCTCCCAGTGATTGTCATTAATATCCACTGACTTCAACTTGATCACCGCTAATGCCACTGGAACACTTTGGAGTCCATTGACCCCCCACTGACCCCACTATAAATGAAACACCCCTACCTGTTTGATCTTGCTCATCCATTTAGATATCTGCAACGGAACCTATAGTCTGCAGGCCAAAAGATAAGTTGAAATTTAATAATTGTGACAGGAAAATTATATTAAATTCAAGGCATGGTGTCCATAAATAGTTATATTTGAATATATCAACACTCACTTATTTATGTATTTTCTGTCCACTTCCGTGCTGCCTTATCAGAACGAAGTAGCTGAATAGAGACCAGAGACAGCAAGGCTAAAAATACTTCCTACCCAGCTTTTCTTTTTCTTTTTTTTTTTTTACAAAAGTGGCCATCCCTGATTTAAAACTCTCACAATCTCTAATGAATTAAACTGTTACCATGTTACCAGTGACCCTGTTGATCTTCCAGTGATTTAAAGCACAATTCCAGTCCACAGTGTTACCCTTTGACACTACAATCTCAAACTGGTGGCCCTTCAGTGACACTCCTCACAATTCCCTGATGCCAGTGAGGCACTAACCCATCCACTCAGGCCTGCCCTTGACTCAGCAGCCTCCCCTCCAGGCCCCCAAGAACTGGAATGGCAGCTGTCCTCTGAACTGCACATTTTCTGGAGGTGGGGGCAGATAAGCTCTTTAAACGCGTTGAGATCACCTCGAACCCTGGAACCCATTTTCAGTAACTCAATTCTCGGTTTCCAGAAACTGAGGGCTGAGATCCAAAAGACTAGATTCTGGCTTACCAAGTTTCTCCCAACAGATCCCGGATAAAGACTGAACCTTAGGAAATGCACAAATGTAGACCCTCCTGCTTTCTCTCCGTCTGTATAAAGCAAGGGTGGCTGGGTAGAATTTTTCCTCTCGGCCTCAGACTTTGCTCCGATCCAGCTGCAGCTCAGTATGTGGGGTCCCCCTCCCCAGGGGCCCGAGAGCCGCAGGTTACCTCTGACTGCTGCGCACCAGTCAGGCTTAGACCCCACGTATCCTGACGTAGGGCCAGGGCCAACCCCTCCAGAGTGGGCACCTGGAGGTCGCCGGGGCAAACACACCGGCAGCATTCAGGGCAGGTCCAAGAGGGCGCAAGAGTTTGTGGGACAGTGAGGATTCAACGATCGGGACTCGGAGACTCGAAACACAGCGAGGCGAACAGGGAAGCGCGGGGGACGAAAGGCCCTGCAGGGACGGAGGACTCAGACCCGAGCCCCCACCAGACCTCGCAGCCGGCGAGCCCGTGGGCAGGGCCAGGCGAACCCCGACGC